TGCTGGGTTTGAACGGAGGCCCATGCCATCTTCCATTCCCCTGCAAGCGTTTCTTATGGCTGTATCACTCTTGATTCTTTATGTATGTTTGCCAGCGCTAGGCAGGATATAGCGAACCCATGTTCTCGTGTCTTTTGCATCCATGTAAGACTCAGGGCTTACACGGGCTTTCAGGCACTTCCCGGTGATGTTTTGAAAGGTCGGTCAGTAGGCAGGGATTCGATACCCAGACCCCCGGGAGGATCCAAAAGTAGATCCCTTAATGGGGGGTTCCTAGAAAGTACCCTTGGTAGCATAGGGCCCGAAATTAGGGGATCTACTTTCTAGATCCTCCTGGGGGTCTGGTACACACACATGTTGTGCGCGGGACTTATCTTGCGAACTCTAGCGTGCTCCAGTCAGCTTCCAGAACTGCTTATGCACAGAAGGATCCATGAACAACCGCTCGTTTCCGCAGCCAGCTCCTTGAAACTCCAATCTCGTCGTAAGCCCTGAGGGTCCATGTACCCATACAGAGATACATGAGCACCAAAGTACCTATATAGGGACTACATTAAGGCCAATGTATATGATATATGAGCGCATGGACCCTTAGGGAAGCACACCGAAACCCACAGGGTTCAACGGTCTAGGTTTGATGCTGTTGGGCCTAGGTTCCAAAACTCAATCCCAGTCTTAAAAGCCCCAAACTCCATGCCCAGAGACGCCAGTATCCCTTAATTAGGGAATAATCCTGAAATGATATCAAGGATCCTACTATAATTTAAGGTATATTCCTTAATTGAGGCATGTTGGAGTCTCTGGGTGCCATGAACCACTAAACCCTAAACCCGAGTCCCTAAACTCTGAAGCCTCAGATCTGGGATCTCTGGGTAATGGCAGAGGTGAGGGTACCCTAAACCTCCCAGAGACTCCAATATCCCTTAATTAAGGAATATACCGTAAATTGTTGTAGGATCCCTAATACTTTCTAAGGTATATTCCTTCAGTAAGGGATATTGGAGTCTCTGGGCTCAGCCCCCGATCCCCAAAAGTGCGCCCAGGCAGCCCAAACCCCCAACTCCAATGCCTAAGCCCTAAACCAGGACCCCCCCCCAAGGGTCCTTAAATGGAGCCCTAATGGCCCATAATAGTAGGTCTTGGGGATAGGTTAGAGGGTAGTTGGGTGGGTCTAGGAACCACTGAACCTCAGCCCAAAATCCCAAAAGCTGCACCCATAAGCTAAGCACAGCGAGGATCGTTGATCAAGGGAGTTGGAGGCCGGCATCACCGGGTTTCGATATGCGGTCTTTTCACGCTTGTTGTAAGGTTACTTTAAGAGTTCTAAATGGTCCCAAGGGTTCAGGGTTTGGGGGTTCCGGGTTTAGGTAGGGTCCTTAAAACACATAGAGAAGCGTATGCTAGCATTACAGCTGCACAGAAAGGAGTCATAGATAGATGTCTGATTGCAATAGTGAGTTTGGGGTTGAGAGTTAATAGGGTTTAGCGTAATAGAGAATAGAAGGACATGATAAGAAATGCAATCATCAAATATGCATACTATAGAACTTAAAACAATTGCTGATACCACTATCACACAGCTTTATTTTCATTATTGATCCCGCAACATTATGAAACCCCTGTAGATCCTTTCTAGAAATCTGTCAGACGACCCGTACACGACAACGGTGTCTGTTCCCATCAACCCTAAACCATGAACCGTCAGGCCCGAAGACAATCTGAACAATCTCCCGCAGTGGGCCGCGTCCTTGGCGCGGCAACTTCCAGGGCTTCGGGTGAAGGCGTAGGGTTCTGGGGTTTTCGAGCTACTTTTAAGTTAAAAGGATCTTTGGGGGCTTCCTTGAAAAGGGTGTTTTTTTTCTAAGGCAGCTTTGAGGGTTCAGGGTTTAGAAAAAGGGCCAGTTCGCGCTAGGATAAATGCAGGTTTGTAATAATATGTGCCCTGACCATTCGAAAAGGGGTTTGGGGTATATAATATTTAGTACCCGGCCAAGTTGAATGCCTTCGGTTTAACGCCTAGGAGGTCGCATTCCACTTGGGTGCTTTCAGCACCAGAGGCCTACCTTCTTCGAGTTTTCCCTAAATGGTCTAGGTTAATACCGGGGCCTGACCAACTATCAATACCATACGCTGGGGTCCTTCATATACTTCAACTATATAGTAGAACCCAAAACCTATAGTTCTATTCTTTTATACGGCCCGTATGTTACACAACCCGACGCGCTGAACCCAATGTGGCTTTCTGACACGAAGTGTTGAGGTTGCTGCTTCGCGCAGTCGTGCCGAGAAGGATGTGGCAGACAACAGCTGGCACACAGGTTTAATGAATATAGAACCAGTATAGATCCCTGTAAAGGAAAATTTTGTGGATCCCTTTATAGTAGAAGCCAGAAAGTTGGAATATCATTATCGTAACCCCTTTAAGGTAAAATACAGCGGATCCTACCAGTAATCCATATTCCAACTTTCTGGAGTTCCCTTTAAAACGCTTGAGTGTCGGTCTGTTGTAGTGTCTTTCACGAAGCGCAGAGTCGGGTGCATCGTTCGTCGCGGCCGTGGTCTTGGCGGAACTCAAAGGGTCCAAAGTACCGATATAATAGAATGTAGGTTTTCTTAATTAGGAATTGCTATTATGATTTGGGGAAGTATTCCCCACAACAGTACATAGGACCCTTTGGGAAAGTATTTTCAGCAGCACTTAGCAGCGGGAAAGGATATTTTGACGATGGCTTGAGCTGCGTGCAGAGACTGCTCTTGTTTCAACTCTTCTTTCTCGTACGGAGCATGCCAAGGACAACCAAGCTACAAACCCAAACTCCAGATTTTAAACCCTAAGGCCAAAGCCTTCAACCAACTGCATAGCCCCATGTTGTTGGGCCCTAAACATACACTGTTGAAACCTAGCAACTTGTACGGCTTTGCCACGTCATTTTCATGTATATAGAATCTAGAAAAATTATGCCCGGAACGAGGACCCCTCCTGCGGCTGCCGCACTGCCCCACAGTGGCTTGGCTCAACGGGAGACAATCCAATACTTGTAGGGTTTTGCGTTTGGCACTTTTGTCTTTGGCCGTCGTATTTTGAGGCAGGATTTAGGGAGTTGCGCATGGCTTGGTTTTACGGCATTGCATGTTGCTTTCTTAGGTGTGTACAACCCCGCCGCCTTATCCGTGATCAGACCCTATAAAGCTGCTTAATTGGAACCTCACTGCTATACTGTAACTTGGACCCTTTGGGAGACCTTGTAAAGCAGTATCTGGAGGTTTGCAAATGACCTGTACGTCTGGTCTTCGAGACACCCGCGTTAGTTCTCCCTAAGGCGCCTGAATGTTGACAAATTCCCAGAGACTCCAAAATCCCTTAATTAAGGAATATACCGTAACTTATATTAAGGCTACTACTGTATTTTAAGGTATATTCCTTATTTAAGGGATATTGGAGTCTCTGGGTTCCATTCTCTGTAGGGTCCTGATCAATATATATATATATATATATATATATATATATATAGACAAGCCCCCCTTATCCTTCAAGGCTTCAAAACTACATAAGGGGATCGTATATCCTACCCATAGGCTCCATAGTAGCTCCTTTTCGGGGATACGTTATAGGGTTCTAAGAATGAACCTCAACAAGGAACTAATCGCTATGGAGCCTCTAGATAAGCACTAAACCCCAAACCCCCCAACCTCTTTGGTGTTGTTTCGGAGGTTGAGGAGGTCTTGTTGCGAAAAATGCCATCACATGTCTGAAACCTCCGAAGCCCGACAACCCTGAACCCCCAAAGCCCCAAATTCCCTTTTGGATTCCACACCCTGTAAAAATCCTAAACCCCAACTTGGAGGTTCTTGGGTAGTTATAAGTGCGGTTATAAGTCCCCTAGTATGGGTTATAAGTATAGTTACCCTACATATAATCCTTGTTATAACTACCCATGAATCTCCAAGAAACACTAAGCGCTCCGAGCTCTAACACCTCCCCAGCATTCCCTCAGGGCTCCAGTTACGGCTACTCACCAAACATTATGGGTTTAGGGGTTTAGGGTTTTGGGTACCATCCCTTAGAAACCCTTAAGCCTTTATAAAAGCCCTAAACCACCCCAAACCCTTCACCCTAGAACCCCAAACCCTAAACCCTGAGCGCCCCAAGCTCCCTAAACCCCAGCGGAGTCCTACGAAGCATTACCGACGACGCAGGTCGGCAAGCTACCTTCGTAGTAGAAAATTAAATAGGGCTTCTGTCATCGGAATTAGGGTTTAGGGCATGGCTCTGGGTTTAGAGTTAGGGTTTAGGGCAAGTATCCCCCATAGCTACCCCAAGAGGAACCCTATCAAGGAGACCTTAAAGGACCCCTTACAGGAGCCCTTCTGCCTAGACCCCCCAATTACAGTACATTCCAAATACCCGGTATTAAAGGCCACAAGGACTCTATAGACTCTATTAAAGGGCCCTTAGGGGTCGTTATAGGTACTTAAGCAGTGTAAAAGGGAGTTTCCCAAAATGGGGTACCCCTTATTTTCGGAACATCTAAACCCTAAACCCTTAATAGAACCCTTATAGATCCCTGTACGGAACCCTTGGGAACCTTTCACTTCTCGCAGGTCGGTGAGCTACCTTCTGCCAGCAAATTGCGCCGGAGAGCCTGGAGGGTCCGTATGTGGGAGGAACCTAGGACTACAAAAAGGGAATAAGTAATTGTACTACTGGGCATCCTAGGAGCTGTGTTTTGAGGTTCCCTGGTAATGTGGGAGTTTCCGAAAATTGGGTGTGCCTTATTTTGGGGCCCTTAGAATGAGGATCCTACTATTTAGGGTACCATATTAGGGTCCCCTACTTTCGGTAGCCGCCATGTGCTGCTTTTATGGAATTCGGGCCATGCAACCATAATAGATGGTCTTTTTGGACCTAGTTCCATAATGGTAGTGTATGTGGACCCTCCGGGAGTGCGGTATAACAGGGTCTTATACGGTTTTATAGAGCTTTGCGGGGGTGAGGTCCTGGGGTTCCTCAGTGCGACTTGGGTCGTGGTATAGGTTTCTTTTGGACTTTGGGAGTCAGTGGGGTGCTACATGTAGTGAATTGATCAAGGGTTCAGAGATTTCTTCCAGGTTTGGGGCTCTACCAGGGTTGCCTCAACTATATGGAGCGCATGCTGGCACGATCCACTCGGTGACCTCCTTCGCCGCCGTAGCCCTTGTTGTCTACGCATCGACCAAGGTCGCTTCGCCTCGGGACCTGTTTGTCCGCTCCATCGCGGTCACAGCAACCGGTGGTCTCCGGGGCAAGACCTCGTTGATGTTCGCAGAAGCCCCCGGCTGGAGCAGCCGCTTTCTCGACAGAGTGGTCCTGCAAGACCCAGGCGAACCATTCTTACTTCTCTGCAAGCGTCTAAATGTCCCTCTCACCTCAAGGCCATACCACCAACCCATGGGCATGAAACTCTAGACCTGAATCCCTCCACGCTGATATCGCTCCAAGCCCACATAGGGTGGTTGTCATAATTAGGGTCCCTTTTTGGGTACCCTAAATAATAGGTGCCGTATTATGATAGGGACCCAAAAAGGGGCCCTGATTTTGACAACCACCCGACATAGCTTCTCAAACGCTAGTGACCCTATTGGTGGAGCCCCGACACCCTAAACCCACCAACATCCCAACTCCATGGTCGCGGCCCTGAGCATCCTCTCTCTGCTCACTTCGAGATGAATGAGTTGGCGATCCAGTTGCTCGTAGGACGTGCGGGCGTACGCCAGCACAACATCCGCAAGTGGGTTGTTTGTAGGGGTTGAGATGTTTTTGAAACTTTTTCGAATTTAAACCGCATTTTCGGGTGCCACTTATGGTTTTCATGTTCAGAGCTTAGGCTGAGGGTTTAGGTTTTGTCTTGAGGGTTTAGGTCCTCTGCGTTTTAGACATGCTGGAGAAGATCCTTCAAAGTATAGTGACCAAAGGGCCCATTTACACAGTTATGGCATATATCTCCCAAAAGACCATCTTTATCCTATAGTACCCCTATAATAGACCCTTGTGGTAACCCTTTTAAATTTTAAAGGAATAAGGGTTCCGATAACGGGGAAGTTCAGGTGACCCCTACGACCTGCAGCGCAGCCCTGAACGGTGGAGACTTCGAAGATGAGAAGCGCCTTGGTTTGGGGTTTAGGGTTTGGGGGTTTAGGGTTTGGGGGTTTAGGGTTTGGGGATTTAGGGTTTGGGGTTTGGGGTTTAGGGGTTAGGGTTAGGGGTTTTAGGGGTTAGGGTTTGGGGATTTAGGGTTTGGGGGTTTAGGGTTTGGGGGTTTAGGGTTTGGGGTTTAGGGGTTAGGGTTTGGGGGTTTAGGGGTTAGGGTTTGGGGATTTAGGGTTTGGGGTTTGGGGTTTAGGGGCTAGGGTTTGGGGCTTTAGGTGTTAGGGTTTGGGGTTTAGGGTTTGGGGTTTAGGGTTTTAGGGTTTTGGGATTTCCTTGAGTTCGTTCCCCGAATGGTTTTGTAGGTTTTTTTGGTTTAGGGCTATGGGCTGAATACTTGGACGGCCAGAAGAGACAGCGAAAAGTAAGTCTACAGAGTTGGAAGCATCATAATCCCAAATAGGACCCTTACTGGGGTACTTTTACTTCTACTTTTTAATTCACAGTAGAAGCCCAAAGGTTGGAAAACCAATAGCCTCGATCCTGAAGAGTAATGTATAGGGAATCCCAACTTTTTAGGCTACAAACCCAAAAACCCTGAACCCCTAAACCCGATACCACAATGTTTATCCTGACAAGATCTCTGCTTGGTCCCACAGTTGCGGTACTGATTACGATCGTACTTATGTTTATCACAACGAAGCTTCAGCTGGTCATTCCTCCCTGAATCCCGAAGCCTCTTTCTGACAGGCATCGACTCCGAAGGCTTTTGGTCCGAGTGCGCAAAAGGCCGACGTCATGCAGGCGGGCCCGCGTTTGTAGTGTTCTCTCTTAGCGTCTGAAACTGGTAGCGGAGCCTGTGTGCTCCTGTAGGACCGTAGTTACTGCGCAATGTCGAGCGGCGCTACTGGGCCGCCTCCGGGTTTCGAAGATGTACGTCATGTCTCTGGTGGGCAAGCTGCCTCCCCAGAGCCTCCTGATGTTCCGCCTGCGCCGAATCTCGGCACAGGGCGTTCGACGACCGAAGAGTGTGGTGATGCCGCCGCCCCGGACCTAGAGAAGCAGGGCGGCCACAAAGAAGCGAGCCAAGGGAGTGATCCCCCGGCTCATGTTCGAGGGGAAGCCACTCGTGCTGAGTGGCATGGGAGCGAAGGCGCTACTACCGCGGGGCCTGAGGGTGGTGAGCGCCGCCAGTCTACGAAGGGAGATCACGGCGATGATGACAACCGCCGTGGCAGTTGGAGTGCGACGACGAGCCAGACAGCGGGGGGACGAGGACGAGATCCATGGAGTGACCACGATCCATGGCAACAAGCACAACCGACCCGCTGGAACGAAGATGGGCCGCACCCTAATCGATGGAGCGAGGATCCCCACCCCAACCGGTGGAATGACGACTGCTCGTGGGATCGAGGACGCCCAGGGCGCCATGGATTACATGATTCGGGCGGCCATCACAGTGATCCCTGGGCAGATGGTCGAGACGGACTCTTTAGAGGGAACGATCATCCGGATCACCATCGAGCCTGGACCGATGACTGGCACCAAGGACCAGCTCCCCCATGGGCCCGTCGGTTACATGATCCGGACGGCCATCGCAGTGATCCCGGGGCAGATGGTCGAGATTACGGGCATCGTGGGCGCGATTATGGAGATCATCGAGGACTGTGGGAAGACGCGGCTAAGAGCTATGATTTCCACTCCTCCAAGTCGTGGGAGACGAGCTCGGGCACTTCGTGGCACGCCTGGCAGCCGTGGGATGGAGCCGGTCAGGACTATGGCCGCTACAAGCAGGGCTATTCAGGCAGACCCTCAGAGAAACTCTCTGTGCCTACCTTCTCTGCCGAGGACACAGAGGACTTGGGATCGTCAGCCCGTTCGTACTTGAGACAGGTGTCGGCCTGGCGTCAGATGACACTTCTTCCTCAGAGTCAGCAAGGGCTAGTGCTGTACCAAGGGCTGACAGGGAAGGCTTGGATTGCTGCTGAGGAGCTTTCAGTGTCCAGGCTTGGGGATGATAGTGGCATTGACTATTTCATCTCCTGGGTGAGCGCTCGCTTTTTGGATCTAGAGGTGGCTCGCATCGGCAAGGCGTTCTCTGACTACTTTCGCCGTATGCGTAGGAACCCCCCCAGACGATCCGCGAGTTCAACACCGAGTACGACAGGCTCTTCGGCCGATTGCGGGAGGTCGGATGCAACTTGCCCCAAGAAGCAGCCGCTTGGATGTATCTGGATCGTCTTCAGCTTGAGGAGGCCCAGGAGTTGAACCTTTTGGCTTCAGTGGGCAACAGGTATGACTTGTTGCGGTTGCAGCAGGCAGCCATACTCCACGATAGAGGACAGCGGAAGCCATGGGAGTCCGCTAACAAGGGACGCAAGCCGAACTACGCCCACGTCACCTTCAACGAGCAGGACGACTCCGACGGGCCGGGCGACGAGTTCGAAGGCGAAGGGATTCCTGAAGAGGTGGCGGAGGCCTGCAGGGTCACCTACCAGAGCGCAAAGGAGCGATACCGCACGCAGCAAAAGGCGCGCGGGTACAGTGGCGAGACTGGTGAGAACGGCACGAAGGCCAACGGTGGAGACGGCGACCGGGACAAGGGCGATGCTAAGGACGGTGGGCGCGAGGCAAAGTTGAAGATGATGAAATCTAAGAGCTTCTGCAGCGGCTGCGGGAGAAGAGGCCATTGGCACCGAGACGGGTGCTGTCCATTGAACCAGAATGGAAATGGTGGAGCCAAGCCTGAAGGTGGACTTAGTGATGTGGCTATGACTACGGTGCTACCTTCTGATGTGTTTGCGCTCCGCCACGTGGCGGATTTGGTCGGAGTCACCGACACTGCTTGTGCCAGGACGGTGGCGGGATCCCAATGGTTGCAGGCCTACACTGACAAGCTCAGCGAGCAGGGACAAAGGCCGGTGCTTCGGAAAGAGACCGAGGCCTATCGCTTCGGCACCGGAAAGATCCACTACTCCTCCTTCTACGTGGTGGTCAACTTCGAGCTCGGCGACTGTGTGCTCCAGGTTCGTACTTCTATCATCACCGGTGACATCCCGCTCCTCCTTTCAAAGACGGTGCTCGGGAAGATGGGTATGGTTTTCAACGTTGAAGAGGGGACCGCAGACTTCACGAAGATTGGTTTGCGCAACTACAAGCTTTTGACTACCTCTTCAGGCCACCCTGCGATTCCGATTGTCCCGGCAAAGGCCGACAGCACGTCTCCAGTGCTTCAGGTAGAGGACGTGCGACTGCAGCCCAAGGAGCAATACATGTCCGTTTGTGCGGTAGCCTGCAAGTCTAGTGTCACGCCACAATACACCGGAATCTACCATGAGAAGAAGTTGGCCCCAGGTGTGAGAGATTTGCTCAGTCAGGACCGTTTGCAACGTGACATGTTCATGGCATGGTGGAGCAAAACCCCACACGACAGGGACTTTTGGTTAGAGACCCCAGCAGCTTGGAAATTCATGTTGTACCGAGAAGGGCAATGTTCAATCCTACTACCTGGCGTACAAGTTCATCAGTCCTCAAAGAAATGTTGATTGCCACCCTCGGTCACACCCGCATGACAGAGAGTGTCTGCTGCAGTTCTGAAAGATGGCTAGAAGCTACTGTAGACCACTGGGAAAGCGATCAAGGTGATGAGCAAGCCTTCCCGCTGTTGTGGATCGGAAGGGCTGTCTTGTACAAGACGCAGCCCATAGCAGTTAGCACTCCGAGCGCCGCCGGTGATGCGCCATGCGACTCTCCGAAGCAGCAGAAGACTCTGAGCCGCATGACGAAGGCAGAGCTGCTGGAGGAAGCGATGAGACTCGGGATGGTCGTTCACCCATCCTGGACCGTGATCGAGCTGCGAGCGGTGATCAGGGAGTTCCTCGCCGAGACGACCGACGGCGATGTGGCGAAGCAAATGAAGAAGATCAACTCCCTCAACCTGGACGAGCTGAAGGAGAAGGCTCGAGAGCTTTCGGTGGACCTCCCCACCAAGGCCACCAAAGGCCAGATCCTCAAGTTGATTCGGGAAAGCCTGAACACTCCGGACAACACCCTGATGACCATCGGCCGTTGGCGTGGCAGCGAGTACCAGGAGATCCCGCCAAGCTACGGTCGCTGGGCCGTGGAGGAAATCCGGAGGTCGAGCAACGCACACCCCGACTTGGTCCGCTTCGGGCGATGGAGGGAGAATGCATCCAAAGCGAAGATCCCCGACGAGGACGTGGACGCGTCCTATGTGACACCCCGGAACCGGAGCTCAGGCTCGGCAAAGGACTCCTGGGAAGCGGTGTCGGCGACTACCTCACTGGTGACGGAGAACACCAAGGGCAAAGGGAATGTCAAGGCCGCGAAGAGGACCACCAGCGACGCCAAGGACCGAAGCGGCTACATGGACTCCCAACCGGACGAGACGGTTCAGGCAGAGATTGCGGCTCTGGAACTCAAGCTCGCAGTCCTGAAAGACAAGGCGAGGGGGAGCCGCGAGTGAGCAGCGAGAAGGGTGAGAAGATCTACGGGGTGAAGTGTTGTGGATGGGTAGCCGAACACGACTTGATTACGGAAGACGACTTCACCCGAGGACAGCGCGGCTACGCGGAGATCTACGTCAACGAGCACCACGAGCACTACGACCACGTGAGTGGAACACGCGCCGAGGCCGATGACTACAAGTACGGCCACGGTAAATTTAATTCGATTGGCAGGACCATTCCTTTGAGAACTGCCAGAGGCTGCTGAGTGACGTCATTGGCAGCAAGCCTGGTCCACTCAGGGCCATCCATACCGACCCGACCTTCGAAGACCATGCCTACGTGACCCTCGGCATGTTCACCCACGGCGGAGTACATGGTGTGACCCGGGCCACGCAGGAGCTTGATGGGCTGGTTCGCTATCTGAATCACTTCGGAAAGGCCCACCTACCGAGCGAAGCCTCCTGGACTTCGATCTCGGTTACCCAAGATGTCGGAACAGAGGTACATCGTGACAGCAATAACCTTCGGGGCTCTTCGAACTTTTGCGTCACTTTCGGCCAGGGAAGTGGAGGAAACTTGTGGCTTGAGACCAAGGACCTCGACGAGGCCCAGGCCAACGGGCTTGGAATCATTTGGAAGCGCGACAAGGTCGGGGCCTGGATCCCAGGTCGCACCTACGACAACGTCGAGAAGTTCGTTGAGTTTGACCCTCACTTGAAGCATTGCTCCAATCCTTGGACGGGACAGAGATGGTGTGTTACCTACCACTCCGTTCGAGGAGCCGGTGAGTGTGGGCAGGAGACAAAGAAGTTCCTCAGGAACTGTGGGTTCCCGCTTCCTCGAGATGGTCATGGACCAGGAGGAAGACCTATCATGCGGAAGAAGACGCCCAAGAGGGTGCGGAGCACAGTCATGAACAACGCCGCAAAGGTCAGTGTACTTATGGCAACACTCCTCTCCACGACTATGTCGTTTCTCGGAGAATTTCGAGGTCCTGAGCCGGAGACCGACCCCATCGTGATGTTCGAGATCGGCGGCTACGAAGGGACACTCGAAGCCGTGGAATTGGGCAAGGCGGTGATCGAGCCCATCACCTGGGAGGACTATGTCGATCCGAACGTGCAGAGCAACGCCCACCACGTGATCACCGGAGCCAGTCCTAAAGAACTCCGCATACACCTCGCCGGGATGCCCGACAGAGTTGGAGATTCCGTACGTGATCTCATCAAGGACCAGATTGACGGCGGAGATGAGGTCGTACTACGAGGCGGCGATCCCAACTCCTACCTCAAGACCTTTGAGGAGTTTGTGCAGTATAAGTCCTTGGAGGAGGACGACAAATGGGTTGTGTTCGGGAAGAACAAGAAAGATACGAAGCTCCTTGGAGATGGAGTCCGACCCCACTGTAATGGCGGATTGGTTATAAGTGAACATATAAGCTGTATAAATTTGGTAATATTTGGGGCAATATGAATTATAACTCTTGTAAGTCCCACCTTCACTTGTAAGAATTATAACCTACTTACCATTTTTTGTCGGGCACACTTGTGCAACTTATGTTATACTTATGTCCAACTTAATGTTCCTATGTTTTTCGATGAAAGCATGTCCACACTTTCCAATATTGGTTTCGCAACCATGATTTTTTGGCGTGCGCAGCAAAACACGATCTTCGACATATATCTGGAAGCCGCTGTTGCTTATATAGAGGAGTTTTGCGGTATATTAGGCCATGGAAGGCGATGCAGGTGCAGGTGGTGGTCCTATTCGCCGTGCGGCGAATCAGGACTACAACGTGCTGTACACTTATCTGACTCAGTCACTCTGGGTGATGCTTCGCAGCGCCGAAAATTTCGCCGTTCGTAGCGATGCTCTTTTTCGGCATATGTTTGCCCTGGGACTGCGTCATCCCAGCGAGAGCAGCATGGGAGCGATGACGGCGCTGTTGTCTTTGAGCGGCGAAGGCCTGAACACCTTCCAGTCACACATGCTGTTGCAATCGGTGAAAACAGCTTGGAAAGTCTCGCGAGCCCGAGTCTTTCTTGGAATCTTTGGATTGAGCTTTAGGGCTGTTCTCTTTGGAAAAAACATCGGTTTTTCTTGCAGACCGACGTAGTCTGAACGTAGTCCGGACGTAGTCCATGCCATGGCCCTGAAAAATCGGACGTAACCTGAACGTAGTCTGGACGTAAAAAAAGCATGCTTTTCTATGAAAACCGACGTAGTCTGGACGTAGTCCAGCCCCAAAACCACCCTGCAGCTAAGGAAACAGACGTAGTCTGGACGTAGTCCAACACTTTTCATAGGAAAACAGACGTAGGCGGGACGTAGTCGGAACGTAGTCCAACAATTTCCTGCATTCTGTGCGACGTAGTCTGAACGTAGTCCAGACGTAGTCGGACTCTTTGTTGTCCTGGCGATTTCCAAGCATGTGCCGCTGTCATATATGGCTCGAGATTCCTTTAGGCGCTTGCAGTTTTTTGCTTGCAACCTCTGCTGCAGGGATGGCAGGCAGCTTGGAAAACGGTCTCTGCAGCCTGCGGCCGGCCAGGTGGTTCCCCAGTCAGAGCCCGAAGCGGCCGTTGCGGCGAGCAGCCTGCAGTGCAGTGAGTGCAAGAAGAACCTTCTGCCTGAGGAGCTTGCCAGCCGATGATCAGGCTTTATGGCTTCTCCTGCAGAGCTTTCAGCATCTCTTTGACCATGCATGGGGATGCAGATGGCAGCTCACACAAAAGCAGAAACTCTGGAAAGTGAGAGCCGATGAACCGTACTGGCTGCCACAGTGGTGGCATCGAGCTAACGATGACATCATCACACTTGCTTGAGCAGAAAAGCTGGTCTTTGTTTGTGTGTGTGCTTTATTTTGGCAATGATTTCTGCGATTTTTAAGCTTTCTCGCTTCTGAGTCGGTTTCTTTAAAATCCGTGGAGTTGCGCAACGCAGTAAGACTTACGATACTTATAGCTGACTTATAACCTGACTTGTAGTCAGCCCCCCGTAAGTTAAATATAACCCCAACAAGTCAACTTATAACCAAACCGCCCTTACAGCACCAGGTGTGTGTTGTGAATGTAAGTGGTGAAAAGGAGATCAAGTACGACGGCAGCGGGATCACTTTTCAGGATGGCGTCCCCGGCGTGGTCCAATCGTCATTGAGGCGACTGCACCAGAACCTCGGACACCCCCGCGCCGAGGATCTATGTCGACACTTACGACTAGCCGGTTGTGAGCCACACATCATCAAAGCTGTGAAAGGGATGAAGTGCGAGACGTGCGAGGCTACCAAAGGAGCTCAGGTCGCAAGACCAACTACACTCCCACGGCTATTGGACTTCAATTCCTGCGTCGGGATCGATCTGATGTATGTCCACGACGCCAACGACGTCCGGCACACCTTCCTGACAATGGTGGACTGGGCCACAACCTACCAGGTTGTTGCTAAGCTGGACAGGGAGACCGGCCCAGATGTGGAGAAGGCGTTCAACAATATGTGGATCACGCCGTTCGGCCCTCCTACAGCGGTGTCCATAGATCTAGATGGCAAAGTACAAGCTGGAGTTGCTAGGCTTTGTGACTGGCACAACATCAAGACGAGGGACGTCGCCGCCCAGGCAAAGTGGCAGGGAGGAGTCACAGAGCGACAGATCGGGTGGTTCAAAGGGATATGGGACCGCGTGAACTACGAGCTCAACCTTCAGGAGGACGACATCGAGATTGCCGGGACCCTGGTTTGTGCCGCAAAGAATGAGCTCCAGGGGCGCTGTGGACACTCACCAGTCCAGTGGGTGTTCGGGCGATCACCAAGACTGCCTAGCGAGCTGCAGGACCCTGATGGTGATGAGGGCGTGACTTGGGACCTCACTCAGGATTCCAAGTTCCAGAGAATTGCTGCGATCCGTGCCAGTGCCAGGGTGGCTTTCCACAAAGCTCAAGGAGACGACAGGCTACGCCGAGGACTTATGCAAAGAGCTCGCACGCGGAAGCAGGACTTCGACATCGGCGACCCCGTCCACTTCTGGAACCAACCAAAAGACCGCCGGAGGCCACACTGGGCAGGACCGGCAGTTGTGGTCGGCAAGCAGGGCAACAACTACTGGATTTCCCGCTCTGGGAGATGTCGCCTCACGGCTCCCGAACACCTCAGGAGCTCTGGTCCTGAAGAGCTTGGTGAGTTCTTGACTATGAAAGGTGTCCGGCAAGAAGTGAATAGACTTCTTGAAGAGGACGTTGATGATATGGACATCTTTGAAGGCGAAGCTGAAAAGAATCACGAGAGCTATGAAGACCACCTCAGCGACTACGAGCCCAGCCTCCCGGACGAGATCGAGCTTGACGGGGAAGGCGACCACGTGATGGCCGAGGAGAAACCTACTGCAGAACTTCCTGCGCCAGTCCAGCCTCCACCCTTTCGGGTGAAGAGGAAGTCCAGACCTGTCAATGAAGACGGTGGTGCAGATGAGCAGATGGCCCCAGCCAACGCCGAGATCATGATGGTTAAGAAGGCGCTCACCACGAGAGGGCAGGCTAAGCGCCAGGAGAAAGAGCTCAAGTGGGGCGAGATCCCGCCCCATGCCAAGGAGAAGTTCAAGGCGGCAGAGAAAGTCCAGTGGGATGAACACTTGTCCTACGACGCCCTCGAGCCCTTGAGTGTCGAGGCCTCTCGGGAGATCCGGAACACTGTCGACAAGTCCCGGATCTTGACTTGCCGCTGGGCCTACCGCGACAAGAACTGGTCCGCAAGGCAAGCTTGGCTCGCGAACAAAGACGATAAGGAGGCCGAGCCGGACTGGAAGTGCAAGAGCCGCTTGGTGATCGGAGGACACCGAGATCCAGACCTCGGTGTCGAGAACCTCAGCACCGATGCCCCTACGTTGTCGAGGCCCGGGTTCTTGTGTATGATGCAGAGGTTAGCAGATGGACAGCTCGAGACAGATCCTTGGAGGGCATCAGCAGGAGATATCCAGTGTGCCTTCTTGACAGGAGGGTACTTGAGCCGAGAAGAGCCACTCTATCTGAGCCAACCCTCTACGGGGTTCCCTGGCTTGTTGCCAGAGCAACTGGTCCACATCAAGAAAAATATCTTTGGGTTGGCTACCTCTCCGCTGGAGTGGTGGGAAGACCTCCAGAATGGCATCTTCAAGATCATGATCCACCACGGCAACGAGGACTATGCTTTCGAGGCCTGTCCTTTGGACCCCTGTATCTTCATGCTGAGGCGAATGACAAGCACTGGTTTCGCGGGACCACCCATCGGCTACTTGGGCACGCACGTGGATGATCTACTGGTGATCGCCAGTGGCAAGGTTGGACAGCTGATAAGGGATGCGCTCTCCGCTAGCTTCCCGGTCGACCGATGGGAACACGATTGCTTCGAGTATGTGGGGTCAGAAATCAGATGCGAGAATGGGGCGGTAACCGTTACTCAGCGCAAGTACGCTGAGAACCGCCTCTTCCTTCTTGATGTTCCCACCGGATGCTCTGATGAAGATCGTGTTGATGCTGAACTACGTGCAGACAACCAAAGCCTTATAGGGGCCTTGAGCTGGCTTGCAGCTCAAACCCGCCCAGATTTGACGTGCAGTGTCAGCTTGGCTCAGCAACTGCAAAAGGACCCCACCATTGGAGACGTCAAGTTCACCAACCAAGTGTCAGTCAGGGCTGTGATGCACAAGGACCGGGGGCTCAAGTTTCAGCCCATTCCCAAGGAGTACTTCGGGGTCATCGTCTACCATGATGCTGCCTGGGCCAACGCGTTAGAGGCGGAGCATGAGATGAAGACGGGTTCCAGCTGACCCCGGAGGATCAACTAGCCGGTCTTCAGCGAGAAGGGCCCTTCGCGGAGAAGTCCCGTAAGGCCAAGAAGGCAAACTCCAAGGTCGCATCCCAGATTGGCAACCTCACTTTGTTTGCCGACATGCGATGCCTACTGGGACGACCGAGCTGCACCTCCATTGGTGATTGCAGGAGGTCCAAGGCCGGACAGCGTGTCTGCCGCAGCACTTTCGGGGCAGAGACGCAAGCTTGCGTCGAGGGCATCGAAGGAGGACAATTTCTGAGGTCCTTCTACGAGACCGTGATGTCCGGCAACTTGGTGCCGGTCGAAAGTGCTACTACGCCTCTGCTCTGTTTGAGCGACTGTCGCTCCCTCTACGACCACATCCACAAGGAAGGCATCCCTCGTGTACCCACCGACCGCCGGCTTGCCATCGATTTGGCTGCTCTGAGACAGGCCCTGAGGGCCGAACGTTGGAGTTCTCGACTCCCTTTGGGTTGGGTTCCCAGTGGACTCCAACTCGGAGACATTTTGACAAAGCCAACCGATCCAAAGGATTGGTGGGATATGGTCAGCTCGAACCTGGTGATTCCGATTGATGTCGGAGAAGGAGCTAAGACCAACATTCCTTTTTGGGAGAAGAAGACCAGTGTGAAGCACAATGTTTATCCTGACAAGATCTCTGCTTGGTCCCACAGTTGCGGTACTGATTACGATCGTACTTATGTTTATCACAATGAAGCTTCAGCTGGTCATTCCTCCCTGAATCCCGAAGCCTCTTTCTGACAGGCATCGACTCCGAAGGCTTTTGGTCCGAGTGCGCAAAAGGCCGACGTCATGCAGGCGGGCCCGCGTTTGTAGTGTTCTCTCTTAGCGTCTGAAACTAAACCCCGAAACACGAAGCTCGTACGGCTGCCGAAAAGGGGTTCTGACACCACCCTTCAAGAGCCGCACTATGGAGATCGAGCACGCCGAGCGGCTCAAATCATGGATATGGGAGTTTTCGAAAATTACACTAGAAGCCGAAAAGTTGGAAACCCAATAGCCTAAGTCCTTAAGAGTAATGTATAGGGAATCCCAGCACTATTTGGCCTTAATCCGGCTTCCAACTTTATGGGGTTTATTGTAAGGGTACCGTATTTTTGGGTCCCGGGGTTCCTTTGAGGGCTCGTTTAAGGGCAGTTTTTGGGGATCTATGAGGGCTTTCTCGGTTTTAGGGTACTTTAGTTTGGGGTCCTTTTAGGAAGGAGCCTACCTATAGTCTCCATTGTAGTTCCTTTTTTTGGTTGACCTGTTTTATGGTTAGGATCCTATAATAGAGTTTTTGGTTAACCAAAAAAGGGACACAATGGAGACTATAGGTACTATTTAGGTTACTAGATGAGGGTCCCCTATTCTCGGAAACGGCCAAATCTCTCAACCGTCGGGCTGCTGTTCAGAGCCTCGCCACGGGTTGTGCCACGACAGAGGATTTGAGGAGATCCAAGTTCCATCAATTTACGGAGGGATGTAAACACCAGTGAGGATTGGTCCTCTCGGTTGACGGTGGGTATGAGCTCCGCATTGAGGCGCGGTGGGTATGAGCTCCGCATTGAGGCGCCGAATGGATTCATAATAGGAAAATGAAGACGATAAGCGCAATCATGGATGCTGGAAGCGGAAGCGAGAGGAATCAGGGCCAGTCCGACGTTTCTCAGGTTAGTTCCCTAGGGTTCTATGCTATAAGGTAACTTATGATTCCCGGGTTTGGGGATTTAGGTGTCTCGGGTTTGCGGTGTACCCAGATAGATTATATACTTAGGCTCCCAAGTAGCTATATAGGGTAAGTATGTACGAAATGGGCACATGAAGCCTTAGAAAAAAACACCTGAACTCCTAAACAACACCATACAGGCTTAGGGTCTAGAGTTTAGCGACTGGGCTGGGATATCCCACAGTTCCCCGTTTAAGGAAAGCCAAGACAGTAGGGACAAACATAAGTTTGAGTTTGGGCGCTTGTTGGCTCTTCTAGCTTAGGTGTGTATGTTTTCTGTCATGGGTTCGGGGTGATAGTTTAGACATATCTAGAGGGGTCTCCTTATGTGTTCCAGCCTGGCTGTGGTTCAGGGTTAGGTATGCGGTTTAGCGTTTAGTTCGATATTCAGTCGGGTTTTGGGCTTCGCTTCAGGATTTACGGCATCTGTTGGTTTTGTGTTCGATGTGCAGTTTGCTTAGGATTGCTTGCTCGGTTTGCGGTTTGCCTCGGATTGCTGGAGTCCCTCTACGGTGTGGAGCGGGACTCTTATTCTAAGCCCCTAAGCCTGAACCCAAAACCGCAAACTCCCAACCTTAGAGCCGACACTCGACCTCCTAAAGTGTCAAAACAACAGAAAGGTATTTCCACGAGCTGAAGATGGACAACGAGATTGTCCCCACCTTGGCTTTTTGCTGGAACACAAGAAGGGCTCTTGAGGTTTTGGGGTTCAGGTTTTGATCATTTGACGGTTCAGGGTGTTCTATGGTTTATCTTTCTGGGGCTTTTGGGTACAGCGCCCAGGCTGGCCCCTATATTGATTACATGACAGTGTCTTTGCTGCTCCCGGAATGGAGTGCAACCCACCCCGCAAGAGGCTTCTAGCATCTCTTCTGTAGAAACGTATCCCATCGCTGTGGTCCCATAGAACGAAAACTGAGAGTAATATAGATACAGGGTCCTTAATACTTACCTACATCATTCCTAGGGTTCCTTGTTCTAGCTATAGTATAATGTGCCCCGAAACCTGATTCTAATTGTTAAGGCCCCCATATTAGCCCAGGCCACACATCGCCAGCCCCCCTTTCCTTCTCAAAGAAAAGCACACAGACAACTTGCATCGGATGATCCGTCACTAGCCTGTCCGGCCGGTATAGACATTGAATAAGCGATTCTCATGGGATCCCATCCCAGACATTGAGCTTGAATCCCAGGGTTACGGCACAAGGAAGTTCGAGGAGATTCCTGCGTAGAATCACAGTTCTTAAAGGATTATGGGACGTAGTCACTAAGGCTATCATTTGGGTAACCATACTTATAACCACTTATAGTGATCCTATCGAAAGATTTTGAACCCCGGGTTGCTCCACAAGGAAGGTTAAGGAGTCAAGGGTAAGTGGCCGTACTTCGAGCCTTGTGGTACCGGCACAGCCTCAGCCAACCTTCTCTGTAGCATCACATCTTCCAATATCCCTTCAGGAAAGAATACACCTTACACTTTATTGTGATCCTAGATATAACTTAACCAAGGCATGTGTCAAGATCTGGCCATGTAACCCAACCTCTCGGACAGAACTCCAGCAAAGGTCCATGAGCTCTCTGCTACGCGCACTTTCGACGTTTGCTACTGCGATGGTGCATGCCAGACGGCGTCGAGTTGGCTCAAGGCCTCATGCACCGAGCGTTAGAAATGGGGCAAGAGTTCAGTGGTTTTGTAGTGCACTCATGTTCCGAACCTCCAAGGTTTTATGTACGACATGACGTTGAAGAATAATGCGAGATGTTTGAATATGCCGGCTTAGCACATTCATGTCAGCTCACCATTGGCAGCCGGTTTTGGCCAACACCCTAAACCTTAAACCCTAATCGAGGTGTCGGATCGAGAGAGTGGCACACCAAGGTTCCATAACCGTATAGTACACCGACCCTAGAAGCCTTAAGAACATGATAAGTGTTATAGGCTACTAAGACCCTCATTTTTAGCCGTCACACCTGAAAGACCCTCGTTCGGTTCCGAAGAGGTGGGCACCATCACGGTCTCCCGTGCAGTGACTGCTGACGGGCCCGTACCGGCACAGGAGAAACCCGCATACTGAAGTAGGCTTAGGATTTAGGGTTCAGGAATTTTGGTTTAGGGTTGGTTGAATTGAAAAATGTTGAAGGATTCCTTGCAGGATTTCCTCTAATTGGTTTGCAACGGCTTATAGGGAGGGTGATTCGGAGGCTTGACAATCGTTTTGTTTGTAGGCGTTTCTCGTGGTTCCATGTCAAAGCTGTTGACATAGAAGGCTAATATTTGGGACTTATATATACTTAATCTCAGTACACGGGGTTCGGGGTTCTGGGTAAGCCTTCGCATTGCTTGGAGTTCTACTGCCATACGTACAGACTCGTGGAGGTAGAGGGTGCGCGAACTCGGGGTTTGAGTCCAAGGAAGACCCGAAACTTCAAGCCCTAAACCTCTAAATCCTAAACCCCTGAACCCTAAATCTTAAACCCTAAACCCTTAAATCCTCAACCCCTAAACCCCTAAACCCCTAAATCTTAAGCCCTAAACCCCAAACCCTGACCGCGTTTGGAGTGCTGGGCCTGGGGGTTGTGGGAACCTGAGTTCGCCAGTTCTGAACCAGGACCTCCAATCAGGAGGGTCCCATACTTGGAGGGTCGGGGGACTTAGTAACTGGTTATTTTAGGGACTTATAAGTACCGTAACCCCACTTAGGGTCCCTTTTAGGGTCCAGGTAGTCCATTCCATAGTCCATTTGGGGGTTTCCGAAACTTCGGGAACCCTAATATAGTAGCCTAAAGAGTAGGACCCTTATTATAAGGACCCCTAAATAAGGTACCCCCTCTTTTCGGAAACTCCCATTTTGGTTCAAGGGTTCAGAAACCTTAAACCCAAAACCCTAAACCGGGTTTAGGGTTCAAGGGCTCAAGGCGAAGCAGCCCGTAATCGCAATCTTGTACTACGCAACACCTAGTAAACTAGGTGAAAGAGCGAGCCAGACAGCGAAACCCTAAACCATAAATTGTGTTCGGAGCTTGCAGTTTCGAGGCTCTGAACAAGTAAAAGTACAGGAAGTGCTCTTCGAAAACCAGATCGCCCCTTACATCCTTAACCCCCAAACCATTAGTAGTCATCATAGAAACTCTACGCCCTAAGTCCTAACATCGTAGCCTCACTGGCAGACTCCTCTACCGCGCACCCGTAAGACTAGGATTCACACCGATGTAATATCACGGCCTTCATCATTTTTTGGATTTTTGAGTATATTACTGTAGTCAGATGATCTGGGTAGTTATCCAAGTATTTTGAGAGTATATTCAAGTAAGGTTATATCATAGTGGTATGTATTCGGCTTCTCTTCGTGGGCGATGCCATGATCGAGCCACTCTTCGGAGACCTGGACGCAGGCGGGATGTTAGCTGTCTTTAAGTAGCAAGAACATTCATTACATATATACATATATATATATAGATATATATATATATATATGTAATTACATATATTTATATACATAAAATGTATTTACTTATGTATATAGACATACACTATCCTTGTTAATTTCTGTGATGGGGACTTAATTCCATGGTACTGGTCTGCACTAGTATGTGTTGACACTCTTGGCAAGCAACGGGTATGAAGTCTGGGGTTTGGGTCGTAAGGATCTGCGTTTTCGTGCTCCTGGTGTCCTGGAGTTGTGGGCTTAGGCTTGAACTCGAAAGTCGCTGATTCTCCCGGTATCTCCTGGCTAAGATCCTAAGCGCTATAACCCCCTACACCTTAAGCCCTAAACCCTAAAGCCCACAAACCCTAAACCCCTAAACCCTAAACGCCATGACAGGGGGCCTTTCGGGGTCCTTGGATGTAGAAAGCTCCTTTCAGGCAGTTCCGTGGGCTCTAGGCAACTGTGAACTCTAGTAAGGAGTGCAGGGTTTTCGGGACTTGTGGTTTAGGGTTGGGATGATTATGAAGGCTGCTGTGAGGGTTCTAATCGTGAACTTTAGATGCTGAAATGAGCGAAGAGAAACTGCGGAATCCTCTGATAGCAGCGGCCCAGAGAAGATGTGTAAGACCGCCCCCTCCCCACAGAAAGGGAACCCACAGTGTAAGAATCCTACTAAACCCTCCTCATCAGATTGAACTACCGCCTTGGCTAGTAGAATACCGTTGCAGGTTCGGCTCCCTCCAAAGTCTCAGACAGTGCGTCTGAGCCACTGCCTCGGGTGGTGCTGCAAGGCATCTCCGTTGAAGATGTCAAAGCACGGGACAAAGTGCACTACAACATGAGCCCGGTCTTGTGCCAGTACGTGTTCAGCTTTCGATGTTTTTTTTTTTTTGTTTTATCGTGCCTTCGGACGGGTTGTATTTGCTGTCAGAAACAGGAGCTTTGAGACAAAGGAATAACCAATGGATGTACAAAGTGGATCCTACTGACTCGACCCGCCTCATCTTGCGCGAAGACGCGCCGGAGCCGCCAGAAGACTACCCAGAGGCCCTGGAAAAATGCTCCACGCGGCACTGGGTTGATCGATTTCGTGGGCACTATCGTATCTTGGTCGAGCCTTAGGGTTTAGGGTTCAGAGTTTGCGGTTCAGGGTTTAGGGTTTAGGGACGTGGTTTGGGTTGAGCCGCCCACAGGGGCCCACTGTTTGTTTGCCTCCGAGGTATCGTCAATGTTCCGCGCGAGCATACGACATGGATGAAAGAAGCATCGCGACTGGCAGTGCAGCAGGCTCGCCGTCGGAACCAAACCTTAACCTACCAGGACCTACTATTTGGCAGGGTCCCTAGGATTTCAATTGTTGAATGTGGATAATCAGAACCTGCAAAGCAGTAGGTTTCGGTAGGTTAAGGAAGTACCCTGAAAGTAGACGCCTGGTACAGTCCAGGATTCCTTGCTATATTTATGCTGTACTTGGAGGTCCATGTGTTGTTATAAAAGGGGTTATAAGTTCCCTAATCTTGGTTATAAGTATAGTTACCCTACATATAACCCTACCTATAAGTTCCCATGAACCTCCAAGTACTATTAGACCATAGTGCCCTTGTATTATGTTGCAGGTTCTTGGGGGAATTAGTGTGTCATTTAGCGTCGAGTTTTATTTCTTTGGGGCTCCCAGCGCCTATATCGTAAGTACTTCAGCCTTATAAGGTACTTATATAAGGACCCACTGTAAGGCCTACCTTGACCTGAACCTACCTTTTTAGGGTTCCCCACTATGATTTCCTTATATAAGTCCTTAAAGGGTAGGTTATTCAGGGTTAAGGTAGGTATATACTATATAGATACATGGAGCCTTGGCAAGTACGGGAGCCACTGGGCTTCTAGGCCAAAGGGTCCAAGTATCATTATAGTATATACTATAAGTATGTCCCATAGTGACTTGGATCCTTTGGGTAGGCTGGCTTCTCGCCCCTTTTCCGGGACGATCTGGAGGCTGCCGTCGCCGACACGTCCTGCGGTGATACTTTTCAGCTCCTTGGGCAAATCTGTCGGCCCGGTTTTCTTCGAAACACTGTAAAAGCTACACTAAACCCCGAAGAATCCAAAGACCCTCCTCGCCCCAAAAGCTGCTTGCTTTCTGCGAACACTAAACTCTAAATCCGAAAGCCCTAGAAGCGCTCGCTCTGTGATTCTTTTATAGATCCCTTTAAGAAGCCCTTTGAAGAACCCGTAGGTATATTCCTTAAGCTTAGGATTTAGGGTTTAGGGATATCGGAGTCTCTTTCTTTGGTGCTTCAGGCACTGCGATCCGTCGAAGCCGAGCAGCTGCTACTTCGTTCGTACGGAGCGAGTCAGCCTCAAGGATACTGGGGAGTCCATGTTTAAAGGACCTATATAGGATCTATAAAGGGGTCTGTAGGTCTAGAAGGGTCCTGGGTAGTCTGTTTCCAAAGTATCTATGCAGAATGAAAAATCTAAGGGTACATGTACCCAAATGTATCGAGGGTGTATAGTATAAGGGATGTATATTGGGTCTAGAAGGGATCGATAAGGGGCCTATAGGGCTTCTAGAAGGAAGCTGGGGAGTCAGTTTTTTGAAGTTATGTGTGGGCAAGAGATTTTGCTCATGGTTACTGTAGACCTCCGCGTAAATCACCGCCGCTCTGATTGGTAGGGATTGTCGCAGGGATCGGAATATTGTGGACCTTCAAGAAATTCTTCTGTATGATTCAGAGGTGTGCAGTACCCTGAAGTACCGCTACTAGAGAAGATCTTGTGACGTGGTTCATAGGAGGCCTATGGGGGTTTAGTAGGGATGAGGGTTCCCATAATGGGGTCCAGAGTAAGGAATCCCTACCCCAAGAATCCTAAACCCCCCTTTTGGCCTCCCATCAGTGATGTGCTGAGAGCAGGGCCCAGTCAGGATGGACTCCACGGTGTGGGGCCCTACAGCTCTTTGAAGTCGATCATCGAGTCTGCCGTGACAGCACGTGGTGGGCACCAGGGTGTCTGGGTTCTTAGTCTTGTTAAGGAACTTAACTTAAGTTACCAAAATGGGGATCTATGCTAAATAACATGGTTTCCCTGTTGTGGTAATTTAATTTGAGCCCCTTGACAAGAACCCAGGTGTGGACAGTGGCACCGAACAGCTGAAGCTCTACCTGTTCCCGTGGAGAACCGACCTGGATGACTTTCGTGAGTTTCGGGTCTTTGTCTCCAACGGTCGAGTCACGGCCTTCTCGCAGCAGAAGCTCTATGCAATCAACCCGATTCTGGCGCCACTGTCTGAAGCGGATCGCACTCGAGTCGTAGAGAACTGGCTTCGGAGGCTCTTGCCTTACATTACATCCACGGTGATCCCTCGTCTGGAAGACCTCTTGCCCAGCTTCGTCCTAGATATCGTCCTCCTCGGACCACCTGCTTCTTACAAACATCCCAGCGACGCGGCCTTGAACGTGGATCTGAATTCCCCGGAGTTGCTGGAGCCCTACTTCATCGAAGTGAACACCTTCGGATTTGCTTATGCCTCCGGCTCCTCCCTCTTTTCCTGGGTCGAGGACTACGCACTGCTGTATCTTTGTCACAGTTAGGTAACATTTTACATGTTTATGAGTACTTAAACCCAATAAGGAATAGAAATGTACATGTTTAATCCTACCCCAACAATGAACTAGGTATGGGATCGACCCTGGAATGGCCGATGGTGCCGTTGCTGTGAGATACACGACATCATGAGGCCATCAGGGAAAAAGGCGTTATCCAGAGGGATCTCCGCTGTGGAGCTGCGGGCGCTGCAGGGGCCCCGAATGTGAAGCCACAACTTCGCAGAGACTCCAATATCCTTTAATTAAGGAATATACCTATTTAAGGAGTATATTCCTTGATTTCTGGGTTCAGCCCAAAACCCCAAAGCTGTGGTTCCCGGGACCAGGAATCCAACTATCCGGCTTTAGAGACGGTGAACGTGCCAGAGACCAAGGTTTGGAGTACTGTATCCCAGTTAGAGCTGCTGCGAGGGGTTATGATTACCCACAGGCCCCAAAGTAGTTCCTTTTTCGGATTACCTTATAGGATTCTATATATGAACCCCAAAAAGGAACTACTTTGGGGCCTCTGGGTAGGAGAACTTTGCGAGCCTGATCTGCGACTTTCTGCTTTTTATTCAAAATTCGGCCCTAACCCCTAAACCCCTAAACCCTACACCCTAAACCCTAAACCAACGAGTTGGTGTCGTGTATTCAATTACGTTATAGTCTAGCGCACTACTGGAAGTTCAGGTCGCAGGAGCTCTTTAGGTCTTAGGCATTCTGTATGGAGTAAGTCAACAAGGTCACTGTTTAGGGTTATGGGTTTTTATGACTATGGGTTTATAGGTATCACTGTTTAGGGTTATGGGTTTTTATGACTATGGCTATGGGTTTATAGGGCTGTGGGTCGATAAGGTTATGGAGTAGCTCAACAAGGTTAGGAGGACTATTTACTCTTCCCACGGACAAGGGTGCAGACCACATCGGCCAGTCGCTATATTTTTTTGTTTGTGGGCTCCGGTGGGCTCGACGTGGTTTATCCTTGGTGGCCACGTGTGACGACTGTGGGGGATGCTAAGATCGATAGGAACCCGTTGTTGTGTGGCTGGGCGCTGCTACTGGTGCCACAGACAACCCAAGCCCCAATCGCCGAAGCTGAAACCTAAGGACGTTGCTAAAAGGTTTACTATTAGATTTCTTGCGGGTTTGGGTGGTTAACGGTCCCAAGACGCATAGGCTTCCTTCAAGGTTCACAAGGATTACTAAAGGTTTTCCACAAGGGTTCTAGACTAGAGGGTCGAATTAGGGCTTAAGGGTCGGTGTACCCAAGCAAAGTATCAGGACCCTCCTTGTACCCTCAAATAGGGGTATATGGTCCCAAATAAGGGGCATTTAGGGTCTAATAGAGGGTAGATGGAGGGTCTAGGTATATAGTTTGACCTCGAAGTCGTCCCTATATGGGCACTTCGAGCCAATGTTTATACTGTCTACGCACATGGACCCTTAAACCCTAAACCCTTCAAGGAAACCTTAGACGTACTCTGAAACGTGGACCTTTAGGGTCGCATCCACAACCCCAAGCTCATAAGGCCAGAAACTCTCAGCCTGAAGAGGAAGAAACCTGGAATCCGAAACCCCGTAAACCTAGGACCCAGAGTAGGCCCTTATTCCCTTTTTTAAGGTTTCGGTTCTTTTATAACCCCCTTTAACTCAAAAAGGGCACCCTTTTTATTCCTAGGTTACTCTTGGGTCTAGAAACTGTCAATATAGAAGGCTCTACAAGCGTTATATGCGCTACAAGCATCTATAAACCCATCAGGCTCTAGACACTACGTGGACCGCAGAAGAGCTAGTTTTCCAGGGTTCCTTATGATTTCTATATATAAGTCATTACAAAAGGTAGGGTATTTGGGGCTAAGGTAGATCCAAGAAGACCCGAGCCGCAGTAGTTTTGTTAGCTTGTCCCGAAGAAGCTTGAACACCCTATAAACCTTAAACCCTAAATTCTAAATCCCTAAACCCTAAGCTTTAAGAAACCTTAAACACTAAACCCCAAAAGCCCTAAACCCTAAAAGCCCTAAGCCCCCAAAATCCTAAACCCTAAACCCTAAATGACCCTAAGCCCAAAACCCTACTATGCATGTAGCGCACACATATCTCACTGTAACTCAAAAATTTCACAAGCATGTTGTGGGGTCTTTGCTGCTCAGGCTGGCAGGTGAAAATGTCGAAAGAGATGACCTATCAGCTGCGGCACCGACGGTCGATGGACGGGTGGCAGGTTCCTCCAGTACCGCACGGACAGTATGCCCTCGCGCTGTGGGGCAGTCCGCATGGTAATGCTGGATACCCGGAGTCCTCGCAACGTCTTTCTGCGCCCTCTCTGCTTGCATCAAGGTCTGTGACGGTTCGAATGGCGAAGGTGGTCGGTGCTCCAACGAAGAGTACAAAACGCGAGCTTTTTCTTCCATCTCTTGGAAGTGTGCAGCTCGGTCTACCCTCTTGTCTCCTAGCCCTTCCCGGGACGGCTGCTACTTGTGAACGCGTGCTTAGGAGCCAGGGATCAGCTATCATGCTGTATCCCTTCTACTATGCGTGGGTGGCACCTAGCACTCTCAACCCTAAATCCTAAACTCCACAAACCCTAAGCCCCACAAATCCTGAACCTTAAGCCCCTAAAGACCCTAGGCCCTGAACCCTGCAAGCCTTAAATCCTAAACGCAAGAAACCCTAAACCCTAAAAGCCCTAAGCTCCCAAAATCCTAAACCCTAAACCCTAAAGACGCGAAGCCCTAAACCCTAAAAGCCCTAAGCCCCACAAATCCTGAACCCTAAACCCTAAAGACCAGAAGCCCGAAACCCTACAAGCCCTAAACCCAAAATCCTAAAAAAAAACAGAACCCCAAGGACCTTACGCCCTAAACCCTAAAAACCTTAAACCTCTAAACTCTAACCCCGAGGCCCTAAAGACCTGAAGCCCTAAACCCTACAAGCCCCAAATCCAAAACCTTAAAAACCCCAAACCCAAACCCTGAAAAATCCAAAACCCCAAAGACCCTAAGCCCTCATCCCTAAAAGCCTTAAGCTCGAACCCCGAGGCCGGGGGTGTTGCGGCTGGGTTCGATCCCCAATGACTACCCGGACGATCGAGGCTGCAGCTCTGGGAACGGGGTGATCGAAGTACCTTTTTGAAAAAGGGCCCCTTTAAAGGGATCTTTTGGGATTCTATAAGGGGTATAGGATTTAGGGCCTTTTTGGGTTCATATATAGAGCCCCCATACCCAGACTCCCGAGAGGATCTAGAAAGTAGATCCCCTAATTTGAGGCCCAAAACTACTAAGGGTTACTTTGTAGGAACCCACATTAAGGGATCTACATTTTGGATCCTCCCGGGGTCTGGGTCACCCTATGCGTTCAGGGAACTTATTGTTGGATCCATAAGGGGTCTGGGGCCTTAACCATAAAGTCCGTGGAAGCATAGGATAAGGGCTCCTCAAAAGGGTACCTTCGGGGTGTTAAAAGGCGGTTGGTTATGTGGGCTCTATAAAGGGTACCATGATGTGGGAACTTCGAGTGTGTGTGGTCAACTTAGACATATGGCTGATAATAGTAAGGATTTGTCTGATTATCAGCGTTTTGATTTCGTGAAGTAGAGTAGGACACCGTTAGCCTTTTTGGGCTACTATATGCCCCAACGGCTAACTCTAGTAAGGCAAGAAGAGCACCAGAAGAACGAGGACAAAAACACAGGAGCAGATTCCTCGGCGACTCTTACGCTCTTCTGGGTTTTGGAGCGCCTTTAGGAAACAAATTGCATCTACCCCAAAGGGTCCTATGTACTGTTATGGGAAATACTTCCCCAAATCATAATATTAATTCCTAATAGAGAGACCCTGCATTCTACCATATCTGTACTTCGGACCCTTTGGGTACAGATCCTGCTTCTTCTATTGTCATGGCAAATCCTGTAATCCGCAAGCCCTCACCGCTCCGTAGCCAGCACGCTCGTACAATTTCATAGCCTCTAACCCTCAGGGTTTTAGGTGAGGGTTTTGGATGAACAGAAACAGTTTCCCTGTGCTAATACGGTGGTACTAGCGAATCCGCAACCCAAGCCCAGTGAAATCACATGGGTGGTTGTCAATAGTAGGGCCCGGCTCTGGGTCCTTATCATATATTACGGCACCTAACTTTTAGGGTACCCAAAGACGGGCCACAATTTCGACTTTCCACCCACACATCCTTTGTCCTCGCACCCTCAACCCAACCCTAACGCAAAAGGCGAAGTCGCTTCAATGAATCAGTTTGCCCGCGGCATGACCTACTACCCAGAAAATCTCAGAGACTCCAATATATCCCTTAATTATGGAATACATATACCTTAAATTAAAGTAGGATCCCTGATATGATTTAAGGTATACTCCTTGAGGGATATTGGAGTCCCTAGGATTTTGGGCAACACAGCGCCGCAGGCGGTGTAACCAACTCCCTGCGCACTGGCGCACAGCTGAAACTGCTGCGGGACGACAGCAGCCAAACAGCACTTCGATTCTTTGTGCTTATCTTAATTCCTACCCCTAAAACCCTCGAACCCTGAAACCCTTAACCCTAAAACCCTTAATTAACCCTAAACCATTACGGGAGGAGTCTTGGTTTTGCCGCTTTGCCGGTCCTGGAGCGAAGGGTTTATTCGGGTTTAGTGCTTATCCTAAAGCCTAACCCTCAACCCTACACCCTAAACCCTTGGAGGAGTCTTAGTTTGGCGTTTTGAAGGTCTACTTGGAGGTTCATGCGTAGCTATAACTGGGCCCTTATGTGGGTTATAAGTATAGTTACCCCACTTATAACCCTATTTATAGCTACCCATGAGCCTCCAAGTAGACCCTAAACCCTATACCCTTCTAGAATCCATGTAGATCCCTTTAAAGGGACCCGTGAAGGAGCCCGTATAACTACCCATGAACCTCCAAGTAGTTTTAGGGTTTCGGGCTGTTTTACCCTTGTGGTACCCATATATAGAACCCTTTGGAGGAAGCTTTATAGTACCTAAACCCTTGAAGAAACCCCATGAAGGGCCTCGGTTTTTTTTGTTTTTGGAGGTTAGTAGGAACCCTTATAGTATCCTTTAAAGGAACCCTTGTAATACCTCCATCATATCCCTTATAGTAACCCTTATAGGCCCGGCTTTTTTTGGTTTTGGAGGTTGGG